CCGAAATAACCTACTTCGATTCCGGTGAAAAGTCATTAAGTTTCCGTTCGTCATGTGACAAACATCATCAGAGCATAGAGGGTATCATCTTTACAACAAAAATCAAGCTAAAGAGTCAAGAAGACTCACCGGAAAATCCCTAAAAAGTGGTATATATACTCTACATCTGGCCTCTTTGATCGAGTATAAAGTGGTTATAAGATGGGGTCATCCACCCTTAATGGCCAAAAACAGACGTTGTTTTTTGCTGTCCTCATTAAATTGAACCATGGCTGTGGGTTTCGTGCATAAGTGAACACAAACAGGCACATACACATACAGAGACAGACACACTAACAGGAATCGAAGTTGACATATGACTGTAACTAACCAAATCACTTTATACTTGATCACTTTTTAGGGATTTGTTGGCGAGTCTTCTTGACTCTTTAGCTTGATTTTTGTTGTGATGATGTTCGTCACATGACGGACGAAAGCTTAGCACCTTTAAACCGAAATCGAAGGAGATTGCCTCGGATACAACGTCAGCGTGAATGTTCCAGTAAAGCCAATCGACAGTCGTCTTCCGGTGGAACCGACCTTCGAATCTCTTTACCAAACAATTTCACTCGAAATGGAAGTAAGCTTAACAATTATGAAACAATAGATTCTTCGAAACCCAACTTTTCTTCGCACACGCACATACACATCTCAGATATCTGTTTTATTGGTAGACTCGACAACCTACTCACTTACGAAAAAAGTAATGTCGTTGATTGCTATTAAAAATATATGTTTCCTCATCGTCAATCCAAACACAGAATGTAATATGGAAAAAGCCTGACATTCCTTGAAATTCCCATCTTTCTAGTGATCCAAGGGCACTCGTAGCAATGTGGCATGGGGTGATTAACGTGTCGAGATTACACGCTGCACTGATACGGTTCGAGTCCCGCCTGGGGTGTTGATAAAACCCGGTCGACACTCCAGTCCACCCTGGATGAGAACATCTTTTGGGAGAGCAAGGCCATGCAAAAGTTAATGGAAACGTCAGCTCTACTCATATTTTTTGGGGAAATTCAACTACCAGTTCTTCCTCTTTTTACAAAAATAGAGTCAACACAACTAATAGATATGATTTAATTGTAATTACGAAAATCTATTAAAAGCGAAATATAAAATAGCATGCGCATGAATCGCAACATCCCATGCTCTTAAGATAATAGTACGTATTCAAGACTACCAGTAGATCATATATATATATATATATATAAGATGTATTCACCCTATTTCGTTTAAGGTGATGAAAAATTGGTAGTCGAATTTACTCACACTGCTACGACTAGGCCATTATTTTTTGCTGAATTCCACATAGTTTTATTCACAAAAGGCATTCTCATGTCGATGTGTCAGCCACCAAACAATTTCACTCGAAATGTGTCACAGGGCAGATGCGAATTGCAAGAAATGCAAGGTATTTTTCCATATCACATTCTGTGGTGGGATTGTAGATGAAGGAAATTCGTATTTGCCGAAGCAATCGACAATCCCAACACAGATTGCGATGTAAGGAAATGTGTGCCTTTAAAAAAAATCACATCTGCCCTGTGACCCAATGTCATTCTTGGAAGTGGGGCATAGTCGTCAATGTGTCGAGATTGTACGCTGTACTGTCATGAGTCGAGTCCCACTGAGGTTGCTGTTGAGATCGATTCCTGTGAGGCTGAAACTGCAGTCCATCTTGGATGAAAATATCTTCTGTGAAGCAAGGCTATGCAAAATTCACAGGAAGCGTAAGTTCTTCTCATAGCATTGTGCCGAAATTCACCTACCGGTCCTAAAATCACCTCAAAAGAAATGGAGTGAATACATTTTCAAGACCTAAAAATGTGTGCAATGATGCAAATGTGGCTGAAAGCGTCTTTATGTCAACACAATAGTCAGTTGTCGGGTACGTGCTGATGCTTTATCCGCAATTTGTGTGCTCACCGAGACAGCGATCAGGGCTCCCATTCCCCACAATCTGCACACTCGCCTGTCGGTCTCGTAGCCTCTTCGCCTGGTGCTCTATCCGCAGCAGAAAGTTGGCGAAATCCGTGTGCTCCACCAACAGACTGGCAACCCAAGCGACATGCGGCTTCAGGCCGGCCATCAACGAGTCGAGAGTGGTCAGGGCACGTGGTCCAGCGGAGGCTTTGTTGTCGGCCAGCCCGACAACGGATGACATGCCGACCGAGTCGGACTGTGAGCCGCGAGACCGGCGCTTGTGCAGAGCTGGTCTGTCTTTGATGGCATCGGGCTGGGAAAGGGAATTCGGCAACGCCATAAGATCATGCCACAGTCTCGGAGACAAAAGGTAGCAGAGACGGGGATTTCCGAAGATTCGCAGATTTGGGTAGAGCAGGAATTGGAAGGAGGCCAGTCCAAGGAATGTGAGGTGCGAGTTGTTGACTATGCTCAAGGCGCTGGTGAAGGTCAACTGAGGACTGTCTGTTGGCATGGCGGGAGTGTAGGCAAAAGTATAACCGATTAGGCAATGCTGGCTAAAATACAAAAGTAGACGGAAGTAAGATGGTTGTCAAGACTTTCATTGTGTATGAAGGTACATGATGAAATTGTTTGTGGGTCAATCTCACCGGAGACGCCGATCAGTCTTCTTGACTTAACGTTACTTGAGGCATTTGCAAGAAGGAATCGCAACTTTGAAGATTTTCGTCATGTGGCATGATGAATGAAAGTGTGGTATTAATGTCAAACGTTTGCTGGTCGGATTGACCGACGAATATCTTCATCATAGCCTTTCATACGAAATGAAAATCTTTACAAAAATTGCATCTCAGGAGATCCTTCGAAACTCGCAATTTCTTACTATAGATAGAGATATACAACTTTGATGAGAAATATTATTTTTGCGGATTATCCAACGATAGAAGTTGACTAAATTTGAGGAAGGCTATCCAGTCGAATATTTTGAGCTAAACGTCATAATAAAAGCAGAAGCCTGCCGGGCAACGGCGATTCCTTGTTGTCTTTTGATGAAAGTTTTCCTATACTCTCTCGTCAGGCATATACAACAGCACAAGAACAATTTTGTCTAATAAGATTAGTTAATTTTTATTTTATAAGCAGAGTCTTGAGACAATGTTCATATAGCCTTGCTTCGCAAAGGCTATTCCAATCCAGGGTGGAATGAAACTTCGATATCGCCTCAATTGGTCTTATCGGCACTCACAGCTGGACTCGAAACATGAAAGTACAGCGTATAACCTCGTCACTTTAATCACTTTGCAAGGTGTACTCACATAATTGTGGGAAAATTCAATTATCAGTCCTTTATCACCTTAAACTAAATAAGGTGAACACATCACATATGGGATTCTACACCCAAATGTGTGTATCTTGGAGATGCCTAGCCTTGCACTTCATGGCAACGAGTTTTAGTGAGTCAAATGTATCTGAGACATTCAAGGCAAACCAGGCCACTCCCAAATTACATTTTATAGTGGAATGCCAAATAAACAGGAATGTAATCGTAATTAAAATATATGAGGTTACTTATTTTTTATATAAGTAAGTAAAGAAAATTATAAATAATTACTAACCCAAGCTGGATTAACGTGCTTATATGATTAATAATAAAATTAATTAATTAATTTAAGTTTTACAGTTATTGAATCCTTCTGGGGGTGCTGATGAGATTTGGTCGAAATTGCATTTTATCCTGCAGGAGATAGGCCTTTGGGCCTACACATTTGATTATGGGAATAAATAATTATTAATCCTGAAATCACCTTGACCACCTGAGGTCAAGTTCTCATTCTATACATTTTCGTTTTTAGCAGGATGGTCTGTTTGAGTTGGTATAAACTTGAGGCTTTTGCAAGAATGTGTTCTAGAACTCTGACGCTATCTGATCCTGCT